CTACTAGTCACCTGGAAGTTATCCTGATTTGAAGATGACGCATGCATCAGCCAGGCAGGCATTTTTGAGGAACTCCAGCCTGCACCAACAGCCCCTTTTACTGCACTGTTTGAGATCAATGAGGGACCACTGCTCCCCCTGCGCACTAAAACCTTCTCACCCTCTGCAGCCTGTATCTTGCAGGCACTTCCTTCACTCTAGCCTTTTCAAAGCTTTGACTGCTTTTACAAATCTGCACAGGGAAATTTTAAGTGCAAGGTGCATCTGCTCTACCTCTGACAGTTGTGTTTTCCTGTGGGTTTTCAGTACTAATCAGACTTTTCCTTGTTTTTTTCTCAAGATCGAATGGTTTTATACAATCAAAAAGTGCCAGTCTTACAGAAAGCAAATCTTTCACTAATAACTCTTTTAATAGCAACTTTGGCTTGGAGCTTGGCTGCAGGTCAACATGCTTTATGAAGATACCCTTCATTTTAAAATAAAGATATCAGATATGACCATGTATCTCTCCAGTGTTTGATGGGCCTCATACAGCAATGTGCCTTCCATTCAAACCCACTCACACTCTTGTACGCATTTTCTGAGACCCAGGCAAGAATGCCTAGCTTTCCATTAGCGAGCTATTAGTTCATAGCAGCAGTCTGAACAAAAGGAACTAACAATTTCAGTAAACAACATATTCCAATCAAGGAGCCTATAGATTTCCAACTCATGGGTCACAGGCAAGCAAAAGAACTTGGGCACAACCTATGCAATTACACAAGCAAGAAACTGAACCTCCTGCCCCAGCAATACTGCTAACTGCCTTAGTCATGGCAAGCTTTCTCCACTCCCTTGATCCAGTCTTCTGTGTTGAGTCAGAGGGCCTTCTGGTTGCCTTGGAGGGAGGGAAATGGCGGCCACCTAAGCGTAGGGCCAGGAATATAAACATCCCTTGTGTGCTGTCCTCTCTGCCTGCATCATACTCATTTCAACAGAGCTCCTTGAACCAGACAGAACAGCCCTGGCTCCACTCCCTGGGTCACCTTCTTGACAATAGCTACTCACTGCAGTCCACAAGAGAGGAACATACCTGGAGTTAAAAACTGCAGTGCTGCCAGCTTCTGCAAGAGAAAGGAAGCCTACATAGAGCCTAAGAGGGTGTCTTCCCAATATACACTATTCTTACCATTGCTGAGCAGGCTGCAGACAACACCAGCTTAAAGAAACACGGTAGCGTGCCCTACCATTTTAAATGTTTTGAAGGTCATGTAGTAATTTCTGACTTGTTGGAAACAGTGCCATTAAAAACACCTTAAATAACTACATTGTCTGTGGGTCTGAGAACTCTCTTCTACCTGTTCTGTTTGCTGAATAAATAGGCATTTAGAATCCATAGTAGGGTGAATTAAAATCATGACATTGACTCTCTAAAGATAAAATGAAAAAAGGGAGCAGAGGTTAGCCCAAGGCATTTACTAACTATCAGTCATACATACTTTGAGGGTTCTTCATACCTGGTTTCAAATAAATCTGAAAACACTCACTCTGAAACTTTCTCTTTAAAGGAAACCCTCTTCATGGCTAACACAGCCTGGGCCAGCCTCTAGCCACTCTGTGCAGCTCTCCCGTGTGCACAGCAGGTATGAAGCTGCCTGATGTTCAGTCCCCATCTCAGAGTGGGACCTCAGTGGGTATGTTGTGCCCCAGGAAATGCACAGGATTTGTCACAGAGCCTGAAGCGCTTTGTTTTCACGTGTGTAGACAACATGGCCACAGGCATAAGGAAATACTGTTGTCTTAAGCTATGTACTTCCAACTTTAAAAGGAAGACTTGGATGTTTCCACAAACCATACAATTGCACCTCTCCTTCTTCTGACCCTCCTCACGTCCCCCTTCCCACATACATACATGTGTCAGCCATTTGTTCCAATGGATTTAGCCTAGTTTGGATCAAAGCTTCCTCTACTTCATTTAACAGATTTGCTCAGATGGAAGGTCTCAGGGGAGAAATAATGTTAGTAAGATGGGCTTTTTCAGCATTGAGTATGTAGGTCATTGGACTTTAAAATAAATTAGAGAATAGTTTATCTATTAAACAAGCCTCAGTACATATTTCATGAAGCTATACTTAATTATAGGCTAATGTGCACCACAGAGCTACCACGAAGAAAGATTAAGCAGTGGCCCATAATGCAGTGATTAATACAATTATTAGCTGGCTGGCATACAGCATCTATTATTTGGTACCACCATGAGAAACAAGAGACCTCCAGTTTCCAAGGCTGGCACTTCCTGTGAAATGCAACAAACCCAAACATTTCCAGAGAGCAACAAATACCCCTCTGCACCTTTCGAGGACAGGATCCTCAGAGGCAGCAGGGTGAATGCAAGGAGGTGAAAGTAGACTTGAACTTCCACTTCAAGTGCCTTTTATAGAGTTTGCTTCTCTACCATGGGTGTGTGGGAACATCCCACATCTTCTACCGTGCAGCACAAGGCTGACTGGGTACCACTTCTTAATACCTCGAACAGTCTCTGATATGAGGGGAGCTTGATTTGAGTTGGAATTAAAAGCTGAAGACAGGGTAGCATAAATATGTGCCTACACTCTTGCTAGAGTGATGGCTTCTAGGGACATGATCCAGTGTATGTAAGATCCACCGGTCTTCTATGTTAAAGCCCTATAGACTAATGAAACACAGCTGTGAGATGAGCAAATCTTTTATGGATGTTTAAGACTTGCCTGTTCTGGAACCAGTGTCATGGATTGTGTAGTACATTATATTACTTATGATGGAAGGCTAAGAAGTAGGTAACTTCTTTCCTTTTACATAAAATTACGTGTCTGATGACTTGTAATGAAGTAATCAAAATCAGGAAAGATTTTTTTTAAAGAAAAGATAGAGAAGTTAGTGCACCCTAAGATAAATGTCAGCAGGAGGACTGACAAAACCAGTGAACCGTACTAGCACCCTGAATTACAGATATGGTTTTATACACTGAACTCAAACGTAAACTGGTCAGAGGACAGAGCATCACATCCCATTTCCAGGTGCAGCCCTGCCCAGGAAAGGTACTTGGCACCTTCTCAAAGGACATTCATTACCTTGGCATGTCTACTTAGTGCCGCTCAGGTCTGTGCTCCTGATGAGTGAGCACAGAATGGTTACACACCCGGTGTCCTAAGTCAAATAGGGCATTTTAAAATGTTGTCAGGTATGACTGGCCCACAGTCACACTGCCAGGAGCCACTGAAGTTAGGAAGAAACCACATTTCACTCAAAGACCTGTTTAGCGTCCTAAAACCACCAGATCTATGCCAGAACACTGCAGGAGTTGTAAAAAGACGAAAAAAAAAAACCACCATCATCCCTCCAAAACTCCAAACCATTCTGTAGCAAATTTAGTCCAGATTTCAGATTATCTACCAAGAGTGTGGCACAACCTCTACCATAGCAGCTATTAAACACCATAGGCAGATGCAGTGCTGTGCTACTGCTCGGCAGAGGCCAGAGTGGTCTCTCTCACACGCTTGCCTTTCCCTGCTGCCCTGGGACGTCAATATACAATGTTTGGTCAGTGATATGCAAGGCTTGGGGTTTCCTAGACACACAGAATCAAAACCTTGCCTCCTTTTAAATACTACAGCAGAACTGTCACACAAGTTGTATGACAGCTTTCTTGTTGGGGAATAAGCTTTTGGTTTAATGGCAGACTTGGGCACCAACAACCCAGCTCTCGCAATCTGGCTAAAGCAGAGCTTCATGCTCAGTGACAGTGGCAAAACCCTCACCAGCAATGTTACTGCTGACCTCTCACTGAAGTTCAGAATATGTCATTCTGTCAATACCATCTACCTTGATTATACCAGGCTTTATATACAACTGGTTATGATCCCAGAGGGATGAAAAGCTTTTCCAAATTAAAAGCAGCATTTAAAGAGGAAATACTCATACATTCCTATGTAGTTTTCATTTGATATCCTCAAGGCTAACCCCAGAACTCAAAGTCACGTTGATTGGAAGTGAATGTTTTTTCTGAGTGCAGCCATCTTATGAATTTAATGGAAGAAGGGAAGTAATAAAAATGTGCTCCATACTTTAATTAGTTCCCTCATAACATGGCATTTCCAAAATGGCAGTGCCAAAGAAAATCATTAATCCAGAAGAACAGACAAAGGCACTGTATGGGGCAAGGGACAGACCTCCAGGAGACACACACACTCCCTTTTTTTTTCTTGGTGGTAAAAATTACCTCAAAGACCAACTCCAATTGCACAAAATAAATGTGTACCAATATTAAATATTAAGCCACTTTCCATTTCTTTAGCTGTGCTACAAGGTATCACAATTGAGAGATCATACTTTCTATGACTGTCTTTCCGAATACACATTCACCCCTGGGTACTCCAGGTTCTAGGCTTAAGCTGCCACTATCATGTGATCATTTCAAGATCTGCATTTCACTGGGTGAGTGAGAAAACCTGTGTCAGACGTACAAAAGCAAACGAGATCTGCTGCAAACGGCAGATCTTTCCCAGCAGTCAGTCTTTAGGCCTACACACACCTGTCTGACACATTCCTTGTGGCAGTAGCCTCTGGCACTAGTTGTGGCATCAGTTGTACCACAGGAAGGAATTGAGGAAACAACAGAAGCCCAAAGACACCTCTGACTCTCAGAGTCTCTTGTTACCTCTTCCTGGCCATCAGGCAGGGGCAGATGTGGAAGTTTATAACCACAGAGAGGAACTCAGGGAAGAACTCACACAAGCAGAATTACTGCTAGAGAACAAAGCTCAGGTAACGGCACAGGGGGGACCAAATGCAAGAGAACAGCTGTTCCAGGAAGAAACAGCCTTGTTCAATCCCGACGAAGAGCCTGGGGGAAAAAAATGGAGGGTGGTTTCACCTGTTTCTATGGCGCACCTCCTACCTTATTCTGCAACAACCATACAGCCCCACAAGAGCCACAACTTTGCCCCCTCAGCAGTTCTTGGTTATAGAATAGAAATTGATACCTGTGTGCGGTTGAATGCTACTCTTGCAAAGACAGCTTGAGACACACTGGCTCTCTTCAGCTCATCTCTGACTTGCTGGTAAATATCTGGAGAGACTTCCACCGACGAATTTGATGGCTCTGGTTTGACAGCTCTAGGGATGGGTGGATGATTCAAGAACTGCTGGTTGATAGCCTGCGGGTGCTGGTGAGCCAATAGCCGGCTGACAGCAATCTGTTGGTTTATCAGATGGGCCATTGCTATTTGCTGCCTCACCAGTTGAGGACTGAGCTGAGGAGACAGGAGCCCAGGGTTTATCATTGTCTGCATCGTTGGCACTTGGTTTCGGATTGGAGTACTGTGGTGAATTTGGCCATGAGGAGACTGTTCGTTAGTTTTTCCCAAGGTCGCCAGCTGGTTGATATTTGGTAAATGCATGGGACGCTGACCAAGAACACAGTAGTCTGAAAGGTTTTCTCTTTCCACTCTTTCCACTGTTAAAAGAGAAAAATTATTTTGCTGTCATTTCAGTTTTGCACTTACATGAGGACTATCAGGGTAAGGGTTACTGCAGGTGACCATACACAACAGCACCTGCTTTAGTTTGCAAATATAAACTTGCATAAAAGCTTGACAGAAACTTAATCAAATGCAGCACAAAGTAAAAGCAACACAATAATTAACATTCTTTCAGACTTCTCAGGCATCACCCATTGCTTAGGAAGCCTCCTTATCAAACCAGTAGCAGGTATTCTCTCCAGCTTCATTTCTTCAAGAAACAAGCTTGGACATTTCCACTTACACTGTCACTAACTTTTGAATCTGTCACAGCAAATTTAGTAACTTTTAAAAGGGGTCAGTGTTTCAGAAACACTGTCTCTAGGTGAAGGAAAGAAACCCAAATTAGTATCCACTCACACAAATCCAATGGAAACGAGATCATTCCCTTTGCAGCTCATGGAACAGCTTTTCATTACAAACTCAGCAACTATTATCTTTTCCACCATAAACTCTACCTTGCATTGTGTGTAGATAAAGTTATCTGATAACATCAATTCACACAGGTGCACTACAGCAGAATCATGTTGGTTGTGTGAAAACATGCTACAAAACCATGCAAGTCACACATGAGAAAATTTTAAAGCAGTGGTTCCTGTATCCAAAGCCTCATTGCTATGAATTTGTCCAAAAACCTTAAAGCACCTCTGCATGAATGCCCACTTTAAAGAAAGTGGCTTCACTCTCTTCAAAAAAACTTTGATTAGCATTACAAAGAACTGTGATTTCTAAGTGACACAATGCTACAAAAAAATTAATCACTACACACAAAATGCATATATTGTAATTTTATACAGTGACACATCTTGTCCCTTCTAAATCTCTTATGTCAGCAATATCACAGTATCTTTTCATGTAACTGCAAAACTAAATGCAATATTGAGAAATTAAATTTCCTCTAAAAGTAGTATTTGAAATAGGAAATTAAGTTTTAAAAGTACATAACTATTACTTAGATAATTTTAAGTCATCAGAAGTCATTTTACAGTAGGTTGCAGATTCCATGAGCCTCACTACATGCAATTGGATAGGCATTTATATATTGATCTGGTATTAAAGTGTTCAGGGATGTATATCGTACAACTAGAAAACTACTACCTCATCCCTGTATTGCTCTCAGCAAATAACAAGACAGGATTTATTTCATGAATGCCATAATACTATTATAACTTGTGTAATGATTAACAACTGTACAAGGCTCTGAACTGTTTTTTAAAACTTAATCTATATAAAGCTTTGAAGTTTCACACAGTTAATACTCAGAATGACAGTTTACTGAAGACTTTCTCTGTTTCCTTCTAAACAGAAAGACAGCTCTTTTCACCTTCCAGAGTTAATCTCAGACAGAGAGGGCTGAATTCTCACTGGGAACGGAGTCATGCCCTGAACACACACACAAACACACACAGTTACTATCTTTAGAGCTGTCATTCTGGAACATCACAAGTACTGAGCTTTACAACTAGGTGAATTTGTACGCAAGATTTTCTTGTATGAAATATTAACTCTTCTCATTCTTTAAAAGGAAATACCTACAACATCTTTCACCTTCTACAAAATAATTGCTTTAAGAAAACCTTTTAAAATAAAAATTACACTTTTCCAAGAAAATTATTAATTCCATTTTTTCACAAAAGCCAATGTTTCTACCCAACTGATTTTCTAAGTGTGTTTATTTGTGCCGTATATTTCAACTATGAAATGCAATGCAATACGTGCAATACACAAACACTATTGTCATTAAATGACCATTTTGCCATGTTACTCACAGGCTGACAGAGACACAATGCAGTATTTCAGTTTGCTAAAATATTGAAAATCCCTATTCAAATGCTGCTCCTCATGATGTCAGCAGGCCTCCCTGAAAATCAAGTACAGAAATCTCCATACCCCTAGTCTCTGGCTTTAGGAACAGACATTAAATCAATGTGAAGTATGAAATAGGAGCAGTGTTAATACCAGAGACGGACCCAGCATTGATATAGAGATGTCATGTGTGGGCAGGGGAGTGTGGAAGAGGGGCTGCTTTGTCACAGCCCCAGACCACCTTCTGGACATGGACAATTCAGACCTCACATGGCCATACTAATGATTGCCTCCTCAGCCTTTCTGCAGCAAGCCTACAAGGTGCAGTAGCCACTTGACAATCAGGAATTAACTTGATGTAAACAGAATCCAGATGTTGCTCAGTGTGCATGGAATACTTGGAGCACCCTGCTACAAGAAAATATAATACGAACTACTTTCAGTCTTCATTTACACCCCTAGAAATCTAGTGTCCTTCCACCAGGAGTTTCAGAACAGCCAAAATAAGTTCTGAACTATTTTGTAGTTTAAGAAACACACAGAGAATAAGCCACTGAAACCAACAAATTGCTACTTGTTAGAACACAAAAACAGTAACCGAGTGTTTTTGAAAACTTGGTGAGAAATAAATATAAATAACATTCACTTTCTGGGCTGAACCACATTTGCCAAGTTTCCACCCACTCCTGACTTTAGTGCCAAGTTATAAACCCCTATAAAAATAAAGTTTAAGATTAAAAGGCTGCCAGGCTGTTAATCTCTGCAGTGCTACTTGGAATTACAATTACACAGAGACATCACCTGACTTGCTTCCATAGGTGTATTTTTCCCTTATTATCAGTTTCCTTTTTCAATCACATTAGACTATACAGCCATGCATATACTCCCAATAAACAAGCCAGATTCCAGTCACTTCAACCACTTCAATAATAAAAGGTTACCATTAACATTTACGCTGGATGGAAAAAATGTGCATGACTCAACTCCTCAAGACTCTTTCCTTCTCTAATACTTTGCCCATATCAGATTCCTTCTTGTTCTTTGGTAACTATGGACTGGTAGGGCTCTGAAGGGCTGGACAGTAGCAGGCCTGAGACAACCCCAAGATGGAGACTGGTACTGCCCTGGGAGACAGGCCAGCTTGTCAGCAATGCCCTGAGAAAAAACGGATACAGGAGCCACAAAGCTGCTGCGACACCAGTATTCTGCCTCAGATCTTCCTGAGACAGGGTTTTTCCATTTGCATCCTCCAATTTCCATGTTCCTACCCTACTACAGTCTTTTGCTTATCCTTCCGTTGTTTGCTATTGCTGCACTGAAACTGGGGATACATTTATGGCTCTTGTAGTCTTGTATGATCTGGCTGGCACTTGAATGTATTGGAATACAAAGCAGTGAAGACAGAGCAGCAGGACCTTAAACTGGGAAGGAAGGGGCTCCATGGACATGTGTTGTCTACGTTCAAGTACTGCTGATAAACTTCCTCTGCTAGCAATGCCTGTGCTAGTTAAACAAAAGCTGGTCCAGGAGGCTGTTGCCCACCTCCATCTGTGGTGTGACCACAGCAAAAGACATGGCAGTGTTTTCCTTTTCTTCCTTCATCACACTGCCTGATATATGATTCTGCAGCTCTTTGCTTGAAGAGCTCTTTTAAGCCAAGTACAACAGTACTGTCGTATTTCAGAGCCTCACACCCTTTTGAAGACATACACTAGGTAGGCAGATGCAAGGTGTCTGGACAACAGGTAAGCTAAGCAAGCAGCTCTCAGAGCACTTCAGGATAGCATCTGCCCTTCACTTTCCTATACCCCCCTATAACACGTCACTACCTCCACAAGGCAGTCAGAAACCAATATAATCCCCAGAAAGAGAGCAGCAAATTAACATATTTCAATGTTCCTTTCTCTTCCTATAATTATTACCACGTGGCTCAACATATTTCAACTCCATACTGAGTTAGAAACTTCCTGGATACAGCACAAAAGGAATCCAGCGCACCCTTCCCCTGTGTGATGCTCTTAACCTCTACCCAAATCTTCCTCACACAGTCAAGCAGCTGACGCAGTCCATAGCACAATAGCTTGGGGTGGTCCGCCTGCAACTTTCCATTTGAAATAAAACCAGCTCAAAAGATTTAAAATAAGATTTATTTCTCCACCTTCCCTTCCCCTTCCCCTTTATTTTCACTGAATTGTTAATAGGAACATTCTGACAAACAGCCTGTGGGGCATTTAGGGCTTATGAGCGGCACTGAATTGACTGACAGCACTGGAAACCAAATTCCTATGCACAATAACGGATGCGGCAAGGAAAGCAAGAGCATAACACGTCTCCCAGCACTGCACTGCAGTGGGACACAAGAGGACCCGCCAGTACCCACGACCCAGAGAGTCCTGAACTTTTCAGTCCCACAGGCATACGGGCACTTTGCCCCAGAGTAGGAAAAGGCTGGTAAAGAAACGTTTTGTAATAAGTTACTAGCCGGCAGAATTGCCATGCTTCAATTGTGACAGGATGTCACCACCCAGGGCTGTTCTCCAGTGCTTCAGAGTTTGCTTCTTTGTTTTATTTATTATTTAAAACCTGGTGATCATAAAAGCCATTACCAGCAGTGGTCACAGCCAAGCAGGGAGAGCTCTGTGAACTCTGGTATGCCCTGCACTAAGCCTGAGATCGAAAGGTTCCTACAATTTTTCCTGGCTTAGCACCATTCTACTCACTGGAGCCAGACCTGAACTTTGGAGCCACACTTTGGGGACGAAGCTCTCTCTGGCACAGTACCACCCTCTGCCTCAGAGAGTCAGGGCTGCTGCACTGCACTGAGAGGGTGCCCTCTTGCTTATGCTACGTAATTATGAACCACCACTTTGTAAATAACAGAACCACTCCAGAACACAGGTAATTCTGTATCTTTTAATCTATAATTAGGATAATTACTTATTTCTTTTCATCACAGCCCACTTAACCACTTCAGTGCAAAGGGCTGGTCTGAGGAGTCTCATTTTCCTTCAACATCTAATCTTTGTATTTACCCAAAGTCGTTCGCTGACTTCACTGTCTGATCTCTGCCTGGGCCATTTGTTTCTGCAGTCAGGACTGGAGAAAAGCAGGTTGACTGGAGAGGCAGGCT